AAGCAAGGAGCTCTTTAACTTACAACGGGATGTAACACACTGAGGCTTCTGAATGCATTACGGTCGTAATTCCTCACTCTCTCCTGAGGCTCTGGGATGGAGCTGTGCTCCTCCTTGGCTGCCTGACTGCCATTGGCCTTATCTGCCACAGTCAGAGGCACCTGAATGGGGAATCCTCTCTGCATGCTGCCAGCTTGGGGGGCAAGTGGCACTTGGTTCTTTCAAGCCAGGAGGGACCCACTGGTGTCACCACAGCCCCTCCTCACACAGCCCAACACAAGGCTCTACTGAGCAGGAGGGGAAGTCTGAGTTACCCCATGTGTTTTTAGCTGAAGGTATTTTGAAATCCTTTTGATGGGTTAAAGAAATGTTTTCTTTTAATTTCAGTAGAATTTGGAGTTCATTTGCTCTTTCACTGTTTTTCCAGATAAATGTTCATTTTCTGTTTTGGTGCTAATCTGCCTGATTTTTTTTCTTTGCTTTCAAACAAATTGTATTCTATGTTGCCTTTAGTTTTACCAGCTAAACAATTTGGTACTTAAATTTCTTTTCAAGAGATACCTCACCAGTCCCCTTCCCACTTACAGCTTTTTCCAGTAGCTGTTGGAATGTCAAAGCACCTCTCCTCAATATGGGCAACCAGAAATGCAAAGCCTCTTGTCAGCACATCTTATGCTTTTCTATCTGTCCCTGCTGAACTATTCTGATTTGAAACCAAGAAGAGACCAAAATGGGGAACATCTTAAGAGGCCATCCTTATAATGACTTCCTGTGTCTTAAAAACTGTAGGTTTATACGTATTTTATGTATAGACAAAGTCCAGAAAGGACTCACATCTGAACTTGGTTTGCAAAGAATCACTTTTTGAGGAAACTGATGAACCAACTGTAAGTGCTGGAACAACCATCATGCCCAAAGGATCTTTGGCCTTTCTACTGAAATTCCTAACAGATCTGGAAATTAATGACATTTCCAGGAGGAAAAATCAAGAACTGACTTTAAGGCAGCAAGTCATTCCACCTGAGGCATGGGAGAGCCACTTGGTAGCTGAGTTGTTTGGTCAGGGACATCCTTAAACTTGTGCTGAGAAATATACAAAGAAAAATTTCTACAACAAAATAACATTGAGATCTTCTTTTCTCCTTAATTAGTTAACAGTGATTAACTACACAAGTTCTCAGTGAAGTGTACTAGCAGGTCAGCTGTGTTTGTCAGTGATCAAACATACACTTGGCAAGTTATTTTGCAGAAGACTCTTAACAGAGATATCTTCTATCAATTAAAAGAAAGCACCATAAATTCAAGCGTGCTTTTTATTTCTAAATGTCTACAAACATGTTCTGCTTCTGCTGAAGTTCAAATGCAGCCAAGTTTAGACAAGAATCACTAATTGGTTGTAAAGGTCATGCCTTTTGAATATATGCATATTGGAGGTGAAATGTATTAGAGTGTGGTATTATACTTAGGCTCAGTGCTAAATTTGGAATAAATGGCATTATATTGATTTGATAAGCTGCTCAGATATGCTGAAACTTTAATTGAATGTATTAGAAGATGTTAATTCTAACAGTTATACCCTTAAAAGTAGCTTAGGGATTTGAAACTTCTTTCTCATGCAGGCCTTCACCAACCTTCAAGAAAGAGAAAGAGGAATCTTGGAGTCCTTAATCTGAGACCATGTGTCAATAAATATCTCAGGAGAGGTTCTTTCTTTTCCTTTTCAATATGGATGAGTGCCCTTTGAAAGCCAAAAGGGAATTGATGTAATCTATTGATTGCCATTTAAATGCCTTTATTAGCTAATTAGTGCAAAATGTAAGAAGTTTCTGAGCAGAAACAAGCAACAGCCATGAGAATACAGGAAGGTTCCTCTGAATCTTAGGTATACTGGGAGGACAAATGCCCTTATGCAGAGAATCACCAGCAAGTGAGTGCTGTAAAAGTGTTTTGCTGTAAAACTGTTACAACATACTAACTCTGGCTGGAATTGTGAGAGCAGTGTTGGAACTGTGAGAGCAGTGTGGGAACTGTGAGAGCAGTGTTGGAACTGTGAGAGCAGTGCTGGACTGTGAGAGCAGTGCTGGGACTGTGAGCGCAGCATCATGCCAACAGCAAGCCTCAAGCAGCAGTGGTGTATCCAGCTTAACCCCCATAGCTGGGAGAGCATCTACCCGGGAGACACTGCGCTGTTTAGGGAAACCGCCAAGACTGAAAAATAGGTCACAAGCTGGAGTCTGCCCAGGTCTGAAGTGGCTCAAAGTCATTACCATCTGTTCATCTGAATTGAGAAGCTGGTATCAGTCCAGTTTCAGGTATTCACACTGTAAAAAAACCTTCAAAAGTGCTCCTGTCTGGAAATGAGGCTGGCAGAAGGGAGGCATAGCCTGGAAGTTCTAAAGGAGTTCCTTCTAGCACATGCAGATGTGCTAGAGCCCCACAAGATGGCGGGGATCTGAAGCTCACTTACACATCATCCCTTTATGAGGCATCAGGAGGCAATTCTTCCCTCTACTGTCAGTTTGGCACTTTCCACTGGCCAACAGTAGCCATTAAGATCAGTATCTGATTAGTATCTTTGAGAAACATTTTAGCCTTACAGCTCTAGAAAGAGATCTACCCATACAAACTTCCTAATGGGATCTTGGAGACTGTTCTGAACATCTCCCCCCCCAAATCCCCCGTGTGAAGCCATGGCCCAGCTATAAAGCCAAGTTACTCCTTTCTCACTGAGTAAATTATCATGAGCTACTCAGCTAACCGCTGTTTAAATTAGCAAAATGCTGGGGGAAAATGGGTGGAGGGTATTCCACTTACAAAGACGATAAGCACCACTCTGTACTTAGGAGAACTCGGCTTTTTCCAACTCAGAGCACTGTCACTCCTACTGATGCCTCTGATAGCAGTGAAAAGAGATGCCAAGGGAGAACAAGTCCCCTAAAACAGAGAGGTGAAGTCTGTGCTGCAGGACCTCAAAAAGCAAGAGTCCTCTAAATTATTTCAAGTTTCAGCCACCTTTACCACCTTATTAAGTAACTAATAAAGATTGCACAATGAAGTACTTATGTGAACATATGTGTTTATTCTAAGGCATAGCTTTTGCCCTTTTCAAATCAACTAAAGAAGACTCTAATTACAACACTTTCATGGATGCATCACCTTATTTTAATTAATTACTCTGCAAAAGTTAATACAACTGAAATTATGTTGTGTGCCTTGAGAATGCCAAAGAGGGAGAAGCACACTTAGGGCTCATTCTTCTTCCCACTTGGCTCAAACACCCACTGCTGGTTCTCTGCTCTCATCCATGCCCACCCGACTCCTGTCCTGGCCTGATGTAGCTGGCAACTCCTGACAGATAAGCTCATTTACAACCCTGTTTCCCCTAGCACCAGCAGACAGACACAGCTCATCTCAAGATTATTAGCAGCACAACAAAGCATTCATACATTTACCAGACTTTGTATCCTTTCACATGAAACACTCATTCCTTTGATCTCTCTGTGAGAAGGGGATTCCTTGTTGTGTCAAACTATTAAGGAAATGAAGGAACATCCCAATACAACCCCTCTTTCTATATGAACTGTAACAAGACAGTCAAAAGAAAGCATTTTTCCCCCTAAGATCTGTATAGTGACTATAAACACCACCAATATTTCTAAACAAGCTGTGCTACTGCTTTTGACAGGTTCACTCAACTCATTTTTGCTGTAGAGACAATACTGCCTTGAGTTCATAATTAAGCAGAATAAAAAATTTTATACACTAATGTCACCTTTACAAGGTCAGTGCTTATCTCACAGGATTTTAACACAAACAGAAGTTGTTATAATGTACCTGCTACCACAGTTAATTAAGAACCACCGAGTTTCTCTTTTAATAGAAAGACACTACAGGCAGAGTGCAAAAGCTTCATAAAAGACCTTTGCATTCCTTTTCAGGTTTACATCAGATGTCTATGTAAATGTGTGTGTGTGTGCAGTCATGTATTGAAATTTCAAGTAAATTCAAGGGGCCCTGGGTACTTCTCCAAGGAGCCCTCAGTATTTCATCAGCCTACAGCAGCAAGGGTTTTTTTGTCTCCCTCCTCCCTCCCGCTTGCACTTGGCCAGTATGCATGACAGGCAGTAATTAGTCCTGCAGCACTGACCACTCTTCTATACAAAAAAAATGCTGGTTTGAATGGCATCTGATTGGCACTGCTGAGAGAGAACCAAGAGCTCCCTGAAAGGCCTGAGCATTCCAGTCCACCCTTGGAAAGATTAGAAATAAGAACTTTTCAGGACGATGTTTTCAGAGACATAGAAGTGGACTGAGATCCTATTTTGAGTTCCTAATGCTTCTCACCAAACTCCGCAGTTCAGCCTGTGGTTTGGCAAGAGAAGAAAGAAAGGATGATCTTAAATAAAAGTGTGCACCTGCCCCTACCCCCAAATCTTGCAAACCCCGTGTCTCCCTAACCAAGGTGAAAAACAACCAGAGTTCTGTGGTACAAAGTGTTTATCCGACTGTCAGATACAGCCACAGCCAGACGCTGGTGAGAAATGAAGACACAACAATGGCAGCAACCAATTCTCCACCAGGAATGAACACAGACCTCCCATCCCCCCTTCATTCTGGCAAGTGAGCACCGACGTCGGATGGCATTACTGGCTGCCAGCTGGGCACACACAGCAAGTAGGTCAAGAGCATCACTCCTTGCAAGAGTTTTCTCTGCTAAATATTGTGCCAATGACTGCATTATTGTTCATCAGACCAAGGCTCTGAAACTGGTGTTACAAAACGCTTCCCGTGACAACAGAGGTCAGGTTTTCCATCTTGACGTGTTTAAGGTTAAGCAAAACCACCCATTTTTGATAAAATGCCTTCTGATATTAAAATCTGCTCTCAAGCCTGTCCTGATTGCACAAAGCAGCTTTCACCAGGACGGCTATTACAGCTGGGTAAAATCAAACAACTGAAACACATAAATTAGGCACTTTAAGGAGATTTAACAGACTTACTCTAAAGAATTCTTTGGTTGAGCCTGAATCCAAAGTGCCATAGGCTATTTCAGTTTGTTTAGCCAGGTCCTCTGCACTCTCTATGGGTGAAACCATCCTTTCCACCGTAAGGAAGGCAGCGAGATTAGCAGTGTAGGAAGAGATAATGATGAGAGTGAAGAACCACCAGACTCCTCCAACAATTCGCCCTGAGAGAGATCTATGGAAAAACACACATCATTAAATTGCTTTGAACAATCCTTGATTTTTTCTTTCTTCACTGCAGAGAAATTCACATGCACAACCCTTTTGTCCAGGTCTTCCAAGTATCTGTGAACAGGTGGACTGAGCCAGCTCCTGATAACCTTCCTCAGGAGTGAAAAATCAGTGCACACCTGGTCTTACCTAGTGCAACTCTTTTTGTAGTCTTTCAGTGAAAACAAGAACAGCAAATTAAGAGATAATTCATTTAAGAAGAGGAATGAGCTCTCTTGACTTCCACAAATCCTCTGTTGGAGAAGGCTTTTGCCAGAAGATTTTTGTTGTCTCTGCATGCTCAGCCTTTCCCTGTGCTGGACATGCTGGGATATGCCAGCATCATGTCCCTTTGCCCAGCTTGGGGGACACAAATGCACCTTTTACTGCATTCACTCCCAAAATGTAACATACAGTAAACTGCAAAAAAGGAATCTGAGTAAACATGCAAAAGAATGTACCAAAAGTGATCCAGTATCCTTCTCTCATCACAGCCTAGCAGGAATTATAAAATGAATCTGCATATTGAAGTGAGAAGAGAGGCTGGTTTGGTTTATATTTTATGTTAAAATTTGCATGTTGCACTATTCCAAGTCAAGCATATCCCTGCTTTATAAGCACAGAGCAACAGAGAAGGAAACAGAAAAAGAAGTGTTTAGTTTTTGTTGCGGTCTTTGGTTTTTGTATGTTAAAGCGATTCCATAAGGACTTAAGAAAAAGCCTACTTGCAAACACGTAATTACAAAACGCCTAATAGTCAGAAGGTCTGGATCCTGTCAGCAAGAGCTCTTGATGCTTTACAGCAATTGAACATCAGCCTTGAAGTATTTGATCTGGGCTGAAGGATGGCAGTGACACATCACTCTGCTGGGTGGGGAATTTCATTGCCACGTACATTGCTTGTTCTTCAAATACAGCATGTTGACCAAAAATCATATCAACTGCTGAAACAAAACTATTTCATGTTTTCCCTTAGCTCTACTGATACCAATGGAGGAAGAATCAATCCCAGACACATCTGTGGAACCTGGGTGCTGTAGTCCTCGGTTTGTGTGAAGAGAAAAACCAGAAAACTCTTACCTCTTTCTTTGTTTCCTTCAAGCCTCTCAGTGCCATCCCCAGACAGTGGGTACAAGTTGTCCTACCAACAGATGGAGATAGGCAAAAACCAAAAGTCTCATGACATGCCCCCACCACACCCACACAGGGGGGTTTGCTGGTAAACAGCCCAGTCTTGGCCAGAGCCTGAGATTGCCTGAGCCATTAAAAAATGCCATTAAATTATTCAGGAAAAAAAACACAAAAAAACCCAAAAACCAAACCAAACAAAAAAACCCCAACCATATCCATACAACACTAAAGATCATAACAAAGAAAAAGATCACCAACACAATAAAACCAGAGAGCTCTGTCTGGAATATGTGAGAGGAATGTGGAGAAAGGTGAAGCACCATTGTTCTCCACTCTCCTCTGCCCAAGGAGATAAAGCAGTAGCTCCCACTGAGAGGGCAGATGAAGGCTGGTTCCTCAGAGTAGGCACAATTCCACCAGATCACTCACAAGTGGAGGAGGCCTCCCTCCCTTTCTCGAGGGCCTCCCAAGAGGATAAAAGGCTTCCAAGCTTCAGCCTGGGCTGTGCAGACATTGTGCTCATTAACACAGGGCCAGAGTTGCTGCGAAGGGAATTTGCAGCAATACAAATACAGAATAATGCCTTAAGTCATGGAATCTATCTACCTTACTCTTCATTCTTTGTAGGTATCATGTGAGTGGGATTTTGCAGATAGCTGCAGGCCTTTTTGGCCAGTTTCTTTAACAGATAGGGTCTTGGCTTCAGCTATTTGGTAAAGCTCATTACCCTCTTACTTGGGCTGATACAATTTTCTCCAACTACAAATCAGTGCCTGCTGAACTTGTCTAATAAGGCTTCCTTTGGAGCCAGCAAAGAAAAAGAGAAGAGCCTGACACCCTCAGAAGGAGATTTATCTCACTTGCTGTAGTGTGGAATAAATCTAAAGTTGTCCATCTGTCTCATGACTTCAGAGGGAACCAAGATGCCTCACTAAAAACCAGTCTATCGTTTTCAGATGGCTACATCAGGTGGAATTCATTCTCTAGCTCCTTTCTTCATTACACACTTTCCATCTTCAGACAAGAACTGGAATTGAATTTCTCCTCCCTGCAGTGATATGGAAAGTTTCAGAGCCAGACTGAGGAGGGTTTTGGCTGGCAGGTCCAGCAGATGAAACATCTACTTCCCTACAGCAGGACAAGCTCTGTCTGGAGTTTCCAGGTTCCCATGGCCCTCTTGCTTTTTTAAGGTAGGTCTTGAAATAGGAAGATGAAAAAAAGATTTATCTGGGTGTTCTCATAAATTCAGTGGAAGCATTGGGAATAAAATAGTATGTGTTCATTTTCCCTATAGTTTCCCATAGGAAACATCTTACTTTCATTGGTAGCTGCCCCTTCTGTTGGTAGGACAGATGGGTTGCTAGGACGGAGATGTGCAGAAGACAAGTGTTTTCCAAACCAGTGAAACTTCAAGCTCTCACTGCTGCAACAATAAAAGGTTTGTGCCAGGCTGCATGTTCAGACAGCATCCTACACACTGAGAAAGGTAAAAATACCTTGCCCCAGAGGTCTAGCAACCTGCATCAACCAAGTCAGACAGATACAGGAAAAGGACCACCTGAGAGGCAGGAGATGGGAACAAGGGGATCCCTTGATGAAAAAGGCACTTCCCCAAGGGTCCTATATGCAAGAGAGGTTCTGAGCTGTTCTCAGAAGAGTTGAGGTCACTTCAAGGAGAACTGGATGTCACTACTGTAGTTTCTCCCAGAGTCTTCCAATGAGCACAGAAAGGAGGATTAAACAGCAGCTACTACAGAGCAGTCTGGGCTGACACAGCTGTCACTTGGTGTCACAGGATGAGGCAAAAGAAAAATCAAATAAACCACAAAGTTGACAATGAAGGAAAGACAGACAGACAGAGACTTGAAGAACAAGAACATGGACAAGCATGGGCTGGCAGCCTCCTTGACCAAAGAACCCCAATTCCCCCCGTCCATCTGCTCAAATGAAGACTCCTTATACCCACTGCAGGGGCTGGTGGAGAGGAATGCAGGAGAAAAAGGGTTAGTACAGGTACACCAGGCTACTAATCAGAGAGTGCCTGTTTGGTTTATACTGTGAAGCACAGAAATGTTTTTCTATTACTCAGATAATAATTACAGAAAACTCAATCACAGTTTTTAATACCAAGCACCACTTTTTCTGATGTAAGCCATACCATGTGCACATGTGCAATGATGTAATTAAAAACAACCAATTAATGCTTTAGCTTAATACAGTTTTCCAAATCACCTCAATAAACAGATACTTTGTATTTTGTATGACATTTTTTAAAAGAGAATTAGAGTGCTAACAAATGAGAGAAACAACACAGATCTGGAACAGCAGGATTATAACTCAATTGTCAAAACAAAGTCAGATGGTGTTTTCAAAAGCAAGTGAACAGGAAGAGTGCATACCTTGAGACGAAATTTAAAAGGAAGCATGGAGTCAAATGAGAGCAAATTAGTAACGAGAGAAAAAACAAAATAAACATTCAAATTCACATTCAGTTTCCAGGAGAATAATATATATAAAATACATTCAAACAAAACCTCATTTATCAAAATAGTTTGGATTTTGTTTCTGCTCAAGACCATAAAAGATATTTGATTTCCTATATTACAGATACATAATAAGCTTCTCACATTACTCCATTTTTATCTGGGCTGTTTGGATTGATATAAGACAGTTGTTATGCTGACAAATAACCCTGAGTACTTGTCCTAGTGTGGAGCCCCTCAATATCCCAAGCACACCTCAGCTGGTACTCCCAAGCTGCGGGCCCAGCCTTTTGCTCTCACGCCCAGCCAGCCCTCGGCCTCAGAGACACAACAGGCAGACACAGCATCTGAAGCTCTGGCTTGAGATGCTCCGTCACAGGAATGGCAGTGGGAGTTCCAGGAATGTCAGGTTACCCTCTCATTGGTAGTGTGAAAGTCCCACAAAGTCATTCCCATGGCCTTTAATAGGAGTCTCTTGAGTCTTCTGCTGTGAAAGCAGGGACCTAGAAATACACCCTCTACATGACCAACCTCTTGAGACAGTTTTTAATAACCCCCGTCTTTTTCCATCAGCAGTTAATTAATCTAGCCTTTTTGTTCTACATGAATAAAGAGCAAAATGAAAATACATGCTCTCATAGAGATTTCAAAGATACTTTTGCTCAGAACAGTGTTACAAATTTGACTGTGTTTTTTCCTCATTCCATTTGCTGTACACATCTTACATAAAAGCAAGTTTAATAATATACTTTTGATCCCTCAAAAGTGAATTTTCAATGCTTTAGCTCACTATGCAGAAAACACAGCAGCCTTTGATAGCAGAACAAAACTGCTGAAATAAATGTTGATTACATCAAGGGATGCACTAACCCCCAGCCTTTGGCTGCTCTCTGATTCTGTTTAGACGACTCCTATTAAATACAGAGAGGAGAGTATAGGGATATATCCTCTGGAATATCCACACAGCATACTCACCGAGGATAGATCTACCTAGTCATTAGATGTCACAGCTGTTCCACACAAAGGCAGCTGAAAGAGCCTTTATCAGCAAGTACAAAAGTGATCTCTCCAGACTGCTTGTCGGCATCTCTCTACGAGTGCTGTATGCTCTCATATAAGAAATTTATTCAGACAAAACTCACAATGGAAGAATGAAGCCCCTTTTAGTGGCAATAAAATAGTATGAAACATTCATATAGTCAATGTACTGTGAATGGTGCAACCTTACAAAGATACGGATTAAGAATGGAATACTTGGGAATAGTCCCTTCCACAGAAAAGAAATTTGACATTTTAATCAACCTCAATCAACATATCAGTCAAAGGAACAGTGTTTCTGGAATTTAAACCAAAGTATTAAATTTCTCTTTTTTTCCTGTAACAATGCATGTAACTGCCTGGAATATTATAATGGAAGATAACAAAATAACTAGACAATATCTTCAAATGAAGTCCATATATTAGTACTGAGCTAATAGCTTCTGATGGACAGATAAAATAAATAGATATACTGCTGTCTCTCTTCTGTTTTTGTAGGTGTTCCCAAGGCACTTAGTGTGGTTGTATTGAAAAAACCCAATGTGTTCCACTTGTTATATAAGGTAAATGGCTGACCATGCCAAAGAGTCACATGAGAGCTTCTCAAAAATCCTATGCACTTCTATTTAACTGTCAATAACCAGACCTAGCGGAAACAGTGCGATGCCTGCAGCTTTCCATGTGATGTCCCAGTGCTTATTTCCCGGTCCTTTATATTGGGCAAACACACGGTCAACAGCAATTTAAATGGTATCACTACTCATCCCCTTTAACAGCAAGCAGTGTCAATGCAGGTTTGAGGCACAAGGCAGAAACAGGGAGAGAAACAAGTGCAAACAGGGGGAGGAGGCCAACAGCTGTCAGTACACAGGGGGGCAGCATACCCAGACACCAGGAACTCGGGAAACTGACACAAATCTATAGGATGATCATTGCACACTAACAGACAAAATCATGATCCTTCCCAAGAAACTTCATAGAAATTTTGTCACTTCAGTGAGGCCACTCAAGACTATTAATAAACATTCTGCTTATCTTACCAGGTGTTTTTAATAAATAAAATAGCTGGAAACTGGTTATTAAATTATTGTCATGCAAAATAAAATTATTGCTTCATCACCAAGAAACTAGAAAATTTTACTGCTTATAACAAGCACATCACCAAAATATTTAACCAGTGTAAATGCAGAAACATGATAGATGTTATAAAAAAAAATAAAATCTGTGAAACACATTGTTCAATTAGTGGGAGCTTCACTATTTTCATTTGGTTTTTAAAATACTTCTATAAAAAGAAATATAATTCTACAATAGTTAATAGCAGTGCTCTCTGTTAAACAGTACTAATATCAATCATACTTTACTACTGCCTTATCCAGAAAGAATGTCTGCATGAATAAGAAATATCTTTATGGAAACTGGCAATGCTTATTAGATCAGATTGACTGTGAACAGTGGGACAACCGATTAGACTGGACTGAAATAACAATATACATAGAGGACAGTAGCACAGTATATCTGGAGACATGAACATGTGCAAAATGGTGCTAAGTAGAAGGATGAAAGGATGGTTAAAGAAGAAAAAAATTGGAGAAATCAGGCTCAAAAGAAAGTAAAAAGACTAGCAGGAGCCTTGATGGGAGTGGAGATGCTTTAAAGTGCTGTTGCATGTGACTTTTAAAAATAAATATTATTTTGCAAAGCAGAATGTGTTATATGCACCAAGGAGACGACCGTAAAATGAGATATGCAGCAAAAACACGGTAGCCCTCCAAGCATTGCTGAAAACAGAAAACCCTATGCATTTTACAGCCCCAACATGGTGAATATAAGTGGCAGAAATGCATAAACGGCATAATAAGCAATGCTACTCACTCTGGAGGCAAATGCTAACAAGCATGGTGGCTTGATGAGGATGCTGAATATTGAATGGAAATGTCAAAATAAAAAATTTGTAATTAAAAATAAATTTGAGAAAGTAACATATATGCACCATGGCATCAGAAAATGACCATAAAATGCAAAAAGGTGATGGAGTGTTATGGAACAAACCTTGGAGAAATATCGCATCCTTGCTGCATAAAGGCACCCAGGGAAAACCAAAGGCTGTTAAATATTCCAAACTCATTTGGAGGGTCAGGAGGATTCTGAGGGTCACGTGGTTCTTCAGTGTTGTCTTCCAAGTGCCACTCATAAGGGCTGAATCTGCTGACTAGGAAAAGAACTACGCTGACGCCAATGTAAGCAAAGACTATACACATCCAAATTTCATAAGCCAAAGGATCCAGGAAAGAGAATACGCCTGGTTTAGATTTCTGAGGCTTCTTGATCATGATGGAGATACCCAGACTCATAAAGGGTTTGGAAAAGTCTATGACTTCTTCTCGCACCAATGTTATGGTGAGGGGGGCAACAGCTATATCTGCTCTCTGAAAAGGGAAAACAAACCCAAGTAAGTTACAAGTCAGACACAACAGCATCACAATCTAGAGTCTCAGACTAATGAATCAGTTGATAAATTACAAGAGTGAGTGGAAATAAATTCTTTGCAGGCTATTTTGTAGTCACTGGAGTTAAGAACTACATGATATTAACAGAAAATTATTAACAAGAAAAATTACAATCAAATCTGTTCAAGAGGTTCATGACAGCAGCAGATATTTCAATTAAGTTAAAACGGATGAATAAACACTACACGAACTGGACAGGGAGATGCAAACCAACACAATGTCATTTCTAGTAATGGTCTGTAACCACCCATTTGTCTTGAAGACTTCAGACAAACTCTGTGTTTGCTATGTTCTAATTTTCTCTTTTTCATTCATTCAGCAAGTTCTCTTGCCTTAATTATTAGTCCAAGATCTTTAAAAGGAACTGATGAGAAGTAATCAGTCACTGAATTTCAGCTGCACTTGGGTGCTACTACTTGTATGCTCTTTAAAACTCCACTGCAGTAAGGGACAGAGGATAGTAAATACTGGAGGGATAGGAACCAGACAGACCCTTTCTGTGGTCAATGAAGAACAGTTAACACAGAAGAATGCAGTGTCATGTATGCCCTCCTGTCTTAGAGACCTTGGCTTTACAGGCCTGTAACAGACTCTGTTCTGGGGCTGTCACCTGGAAGCACAACTGCATCATTCATCATTCACCTGTGTGCTGGTGAACGAATGCCCTTCCCTTCAATCTATACATCCTTGCTGGATTCTGTGGGTAGGCAGGCATGTAAAAACAAATTACTTAGTTTCCTGATTAAAAATAAAATTCCAGAATAGATTTTCAACATATTTAACTGTACCTGTACTTCTATGCTACGAAGATTCAAGTCATGCTACTAAGATACTCCAGCCAAAAATGGAATGCTAAAAAAAGAGCCCTGTCCATTTGAAGAGTGGTATGAGAGTTTACATACCTACATACACTATTTTAAACACTAACTATTCATGTTATCGATATTTTTAAAGAAGGCCTTTCACCGGTAATTAAGAATTTCAGAAAGAAAAATGATTCTTCAGGAAACCTTAACTTATCGGTACCTAAACCACTGTGCACCTTTTAAATCAGATTTTTTCCCCACTAGTAACTAGGCATCTCTTTCTGGTGGAAAAATAAAGCCTAATTAAGTGGAAGATTGAATAAAAGTTAATGGGAAATGTTAATAAGATATTATTAAAATCTGTGCCATAAAATAATTAAATACACCTTTATGTAAATCTGATGGTGATGAACATGAGTGTTATTAATATCTGATTTGCTCCTCCCAGCTATTGGTTTGGGTTTTACATTTGATAAGCAGAAATGGCAAAGGCTACTCATACAGCTGATCACAGCATCGTGGGCTTGGTGTCTGCTGGTGCTTGTCAGCATCATGCAGGCATCCTGGAGCACAGCTCGAGTCTGCAGACCAAGGCCAGTGACAGCTTTGTCAGATGAGGACTGGCCCTCCCCACAGCTGCTTCACTCTGCAGGGCACCCATATGCACACACAACCTCGAGGTTTGCTCCAGCCACCCAATAATATCTCTCGACAGCTCATACCAGCATGTGCAGCTACAAGGTATGTGCACAAGTTCACTGCTTGGAATAATCTGATAAAACCATGTCTGTGTGCATGTAAGGAAGTCACTTGGAAATCATGGCTCTGGGTGCCCCCTCTGACAGCTCTGCTCAGCCCCTTTTGACAGTCATGTGTGGGACACTGCCTTTCCCCTTGAGTGGCCCTTTCCTCAAGGAGAAAGCCTCAGCTGATTTGTGGTCACTTACTGCAAAAATCTAGCTGAATGTAGCTTGAATTTTAAAATTGAAAATGCCCTTGGATGCCTGGATGTTTACTGGCTTTGCAAATGAATGTGTTCACCTAAGTAATGGACAGACTGGAGGGGAGGATATGGGTAGAGTGAGGTACCATCTTCAGAAGATGTTGGAACTTGTTCATTGAGGAATTCCCCCAAAACATACGTTTCTCTTATTGATGCCTTAAGTTTTAGCTTTCATATTTTCAGATTCTGTGCTGCTTAGGTGTATAGATCTGAGCTTCATATTAAGTGTTAGTGAGCTCTCTTCACAGAGTAGGTAGACAAAACAATTCCTTTTCCTGCTTGAGACCAAGGACAACCGTTACAAGTTTCAGGCCCAAAAGCATAAACAGTAGACTGAAGAGAGAAAACAAGAAGGATGGGACTTCATAGTCCAAAGCTGTAATTAGACAATTAACCTCAATATGCAAATGGACTAAAACTTTTAAAGGTGTGAAACTTCGTGACTGGTTAGGCATTTTTGTGACCATTTTGGGTCCATCTTGGGTGTAGCCCTGGCCAGGCTCTTATACTGCCCAAGGGGTATATTTTAAGGCTTTTTAATATATACATACTTTATCCTTCAACTGTCTAGTCTCTGTTCTAGGTCAGCCTTCTCAAGGCATCATTATTAGCTGCTGCTTGTTGAGTTAAACACTAGATATCTGCAGTCAGGGTGAGATTCACAAGGAACATCAGTTTAAATTTAGCCAGCTGGAAGACCTTAGTCTTAGTTCTGACCATGCTACTGTACTTCTTGTTGAACTAAGGAGGTACTTACAAATTAATTCTTATTAGAGCAAGCTTAATGGATCAGGACCCCTGTGGAGACTTAGCAATGGCTCCATGTGAAACTTGGGTAGAAGGCAGGTTCCCGCCAGCCACTTCTGCACATGGGCTGCCAGCCTTGGAACACCCCATGCTTTTCAGCTGTAAAAGCATGTTGTTTCTAGAGCATTTTCATGGACTTGGAGAATTTTAATTCTCCCAAAGTAATATTTTAATTGCTAAAGTAGACATGGTGGAACTGTCTCTAAAGTGCTGATGCAGCATGCAATAAGGTCTGTATCTCCTTCAAGCCCAGCTGAGTTCATGCAGGATGTTCCTGTGGGGGGATGAAGCTGGTGCTGAAGCACAGACAAATCACTTGTTAAAGCCCTGACTGTTACCCATGTTCGTATCATACATTACAGTCTTCTTTGTAAATAATTTCAAACTGCATTTTAATATTAAATGGGATACAAATACTAATTTCTCATACATTTCAGTCTTCCTACTTTCCAACCATCCCTACCAAAGGCATTCACTGTATTGGAAACACCAAAACCCACCCTCATCCCTTAGTGAACATGGCAGCAAATGGTTTCTGCAAAGCGAACAAGCATGGGTTCACACACAGGGTCTTGGGAAACCAGGGCACTGAGAGTGGACCAGCTACAATCTAACACCCAAGTCTGATTGGTCACTACTTCCCTGAATATTAGCTGCACTATGGAGGTTAAAAACAGTTCTCTCTTTGCCTATTTATTTAGAGATACAGTATTAGAAATGGAGAGCTTACGGAGAGCTCTAAGCACCCTAAAGGATCATTAATAAGTGCAGCACTGTTGAGAAATTCCCTCCCTGTTATGGCTGCAGATAAGCAGAACCCATACAAATTGAGCTCGATTAAAAAGAACACAACCACAAACATGCCCTTCTTCGTACAGAACTGGAGAGGGGTTTAAGAACCTCAACAACTGAGCTTGCTAATCACTCATGACTAATGGTGTTTCAAACATCATCTTCACTGCATTTGAGCTGCGTGAGAAATGTCATGGATTCCTCTGAGGCTTGTTCTGTCTTTGCCTACTAGTGTGGGAGGGATGGATTTAGAGAGGACAGGCAGCACAGAGGCTCTGCCCACTCTGCTCAAAGATGACACCAGGGAGCTGCAAACCTCGACTCTTATGGGGAGGGATAAAAAAAAAAATAGCAAATGGAAATATCCTTCTACATGAAGAATGAAAAATGATAAGATGTTCCACCTCTGTAATCCAAAAGGAGGGACAAGATTCTTCTGCTTACAGACCTACTGATGACTCTACCAAATTCAAAGCTGTGCACTAGAGACAGTGAGAGATTTGGGCTATGCCCCTGCCTGCACATGCTTTTGGTCACTCCTGCTCACAGAAATGAACACCTCCTTTGCTCGAGGGTTGCTTTTCAAGAAGTGGGTCAGGACTGCAGTCATTTGTGTGATGGGACACCAGGTAGCACCCCAGCTCTGTGCAGACTGAAGCAGAGGGACACTGATTGACTTGCATTGGCAGCTAAACCTCTGGGCACCCCAAAAGTCCTGGATACAGGTACACAGGGACACCAGAAGAGACAGCACTGCAATGGTGACTGTCCCATAGCATGTTTTAACACTTCTCAGTGCAGTCTGAGGTTTCCAGGTACCAGAAAAGAGTGTCAGACAGAGCAACACATCACCTGTGGTATCAGCTGGTAAGAGCTACCTTTGTAAAGGCAGTCCAATATCCCCAAGGATATTCAGGGTGTGTTAAAAGGCCAGGTCATGGGGGCAATGTGGTTTTAACACATTAGCTCACACTTATTTAAAGCCAACAGGTCATATCTGACTAGCAACATGCTGCATTGAAGCCTTAATGTGCCCTAGCTGAGCACTGTAAAAAGATATTGTGTTAAAATGGCAGTTGGCCCTGTCTGCCACAGTTTGTCAGAGTTAAATCCATTTGTGATTTCTGTGGATGCCCACAGCTCATTCTGACGCACTCCTGCTATTCACAGATGGAGACATAAAGAGTACATCTGCTTTTGGGGCTGTGGACATATGTGTGCTTCCTCTGCCTGTGCCTGGACTCAGGTCAGCCAAAGCCCAGGACCATGGCAGTGTGGCTCTGTGCCAGGGCTGTGAACCTGTTCCCCACCATAGCTCAGCCTGGTCAGGGACCCCACATCTGTCCATGTGTACAGGACGAGGGTCTGTCTGAGCTGCAGTACAGGCCTTTGGGGACCTTTACCTGGGCATCCCTGCTGCAGAAACCAGGAGTCAGGAGCAAAGGACGAGCTTCTCCCACTCATGGCACAGTCAGGCTCTGCCACAGACTAAGAGCATGTGGGAGGTTTTAAGGAAAAGTAGGAATAGAATTAGTCTGCCTCTCTGCTATGATTCAAAGGCTTTATGTGCCATCTTTAGTATTTCTACATGCTGCTGGTAGAGCCAGAGAGGCCAGCACCACACGAGGCTGGTTAGTCTGCTAAAGGCAGGGAGATGTGTCGGCAGTCCCACTCTGACAGACTGCGGAGGCTGCTGTGATCTGGGGACTGCCTGTCCTTTACATCCCTGCTCCATTCCTTTGTGCTATTTTACATATTGAGAGGCTTGTTTTAACCTGAGCAGAGTTTTAAAGGCTGTAAGATCTGGCTGCTCTTTTCATTCCCAAAGCATTTGTAGTTACAATTAAGATCTGTGTTAAAACTACTGTCAATTAGCCTCAGTGCTGTGAAAAGCATCAGACCCGGGGAGGGATGGCTTCCCCTGGCTGAACAGGGAAGGAAGAACAGCAGCCTGCTTTAAAAAGGGAAGAAGAAATAAAAGCCTACAGAAAGAGGCTGACCCCACAGAAGAGAAAAGACAACTGTCTAGTGCTTAGCAGCTGGTGGGTACAAAGCCCCGAGCACAGGGGCCGAGGGAGGTGCTGCTGCTCCTCAGCCCCAGCCAAGGGCACGTCCTCAGCCCATGGGTCACTGCAGGACAGCACTTGCCTGACTGGATTGCTCTGCTCCTTAGATTTAAATAGTGATTCAGTCTCCTGGACTGAGAATGATTTAGCTACTTCCTTTCTCAAATGTCCAACAAAAATGCTTTACCTATTTTCTATTTTTATTCTGTTGAAAGTTTCCAATATGGTTTGGAAATTTCTCTTAGTTTAAAAAAATAACTGTTTGAAGGGGTATATGGTAGGATGAGGATGGTAGGTTATTTTGACACTATCAGAGTGAAAGAACAAAATTAAGTTTTTTTTTCAGCCTGAACTGACACTTTTTGATCTATGAAAAACCAAATACATTTCTTTTTATGCCCAATTTCATTATTAATTAGTATTATAATTATCATTATTACTACTACTACTACTACTATTACCATCACTAACATTTAAAAATTGCTAGCAAACCACAAAGCTCTGTTATTTCCTCTCCAACAAGACTGCTGGGTTCTCCTGCCTGAAGCAAAGGAGTTTGAGAATATCTGCTCAGGCAGAATTCCCTGCCTCTGGGACTGCCATCCCTCTGCAACCAGGTGCATAGGTATAGCCCCTGGCAAAGCCAAAGGAAAGGCCCAAGGGGGACAGCTGAGATTGTCCTTGACTTCAGGGACCCTACAGTACAGCAGACTTTTATGCCCTCCAACCAGACCTGATGTGATATGAGACAGGGGAGGAAGAATTTTTAATGGGAAACATTTCAGTGTGTAAATGGCAATGTGTAACTCCTGGGACTGCTCCAGCTGGCCTAGCTAATGCTGACCTCCAGTGAGTCTTACACTCCAGACCTGCAGCACAGTGACACATCACCCCTGTTGCTTTGGGTACAGCTCAGTGCACACTGAGCCCCCTCCCCTCCAATGCAGTGGTCTGGAGGCTGCCTTTTCTCCCCTGACTTTGTGCTGCATTCCATAGGAAGCAAGAGCAATAGCAACAATGAACTGGCACAATCCAAACATTAAATACAGTTAATTAGGGTTTTAACATTAAAATGACAAGCCATTCATTTTCTATGACTGTCCTAAGAGCAATTTTAGAAGAGTCGCATGCATGGGGCTATGCAAAAAAGGGCTCAGTATTCAAAAAGCTAGCTGAGATGCCCCAGCAGGGCCAGGTGGTGGCAAGGAGGCTGATGGGTCAGGAATATGCTGTATTTGACAAATGACTAGTCACTGGTTATCACTTGAGACAAATGCAATCTAAAGTATTGTGCTTCTGCCACAGCTCAGCTCAGCTGCTGGATAACTGGTACAAAACCAATCAGGACCCTTTTATCCTACTAAGTCTATCTTCCACAGATGCTAACAAAGGTACTTAAAATCTAATCTGTCTCTTGTCTTCCCAAAATGGAATCCAGAGGAGCCAAATTTGAGTCATTTTGCTGACAAGATTCACAGGGGCATTACGGTAACATAGTTTTAGTTCCCTAATAGAGTTTTAAGCCCGTGAGAGATATAGGAAAGTCAGCACGTAAATGAGGCGCTTGCTCCAAATAATTAGCACTTCTATTAGTGCTCCAAATAAATAGCACTTTCTCATCTTCAAAGGGCTTAGTGCACATTCTAATCAGTGTGGTACACAGCCCCCTCTCAATGGATGGAGAAAGAGGCCAAGGGTATTTCACAATATTTGCAAATAGAGCTGGGAAAAGGTAGGGAGGGCTGGTGGGGTTTGTACTCAGAGTTCAGGGGCTATTTTCCCTGCTTACAGAAAGACAGGTGGATTTCCATGCAGCTTGCAAGCTCAGTTCAGCTGGGTAGTTTTGAGAAGCTGGCTCAGCAGTGCAGGGCTGGAAGCATTAACCTGGGTCTGCACTCAATCCTCATGGGACACATCTGACCTTTGAATAATTGAGCATTGCAGTGGGGAGGCTTCAGTAACAGAGCTCACAGCATGAGTACAGGAACTGTTGGGGGTCAGGGAGGGAAACATTCCTCAATTTTTCATTAGCAAGAAAACATAGATGAAAACTGCTCAGAATACAAAGGAACTGACCTTTTTGCAGGGGAAAATGAAAATAGTGGGGTGGTTTTGGGTTTGTCTTAAGGAATGGTCTGTGGTGCCTGTAGGGCTGGCTTTGCTGGTGTGGAAAGGTCACAAGTATGGTTAGGGCTGATTGATGCTAAGGAGGCAAAGCTCTCTGAGTTATGCTGATCCCAAGAGGCTGTGGAAAAGGCAGCTGCAGCCAACCTGCTTATCACACCTTGGTTTGTGTTGGAAAGGACCTTTAAAGATCATCTAGTTCAAACTCCCTCCAGTAAGCAGGGACATTTTCCACTAGATCAGAGTATTTAGAGCCCTGGCCAGCTTCACCTTCAATGTTTCCAGGGATGGAAACACTGCCTCTCTGGGCAACCTGGGCCTCAGCACCCTCACAATGAAGAATTTCTTCCTAATATCTAATCTGAATCTACCTTCATTCAGTTTAAAGCCATTCCCCCTTGTCTTAATACTACATGACCCTCTAAAACATCTCTCTCCACCTATCTTGTAGCCCCTTTAGGTGTTGGAAGGTGCTCTAAGGTCTCTTTGGAACCTTCATTTCACCAGGCTGAAGAGTCTCAAGTCTCTCAGCCTTTCCTCACAGGACAGGTGCTTCAGCCCTCAGAGCACTTTTGAGGCTCTTTATGCAGGTGGATGTGGTATGGCACAGCAGCTTCACAGACTAATCTTACTGGGCTCAAGACACAAAAACCATAGCCCACATCACACCTTTCCTCCCCTAGTGTAGACAGTCCCTATGCTCTGACTGTTACCAGCAATTTCAGGTTCTCTTTTGCCATGCTTTTTCCACGTGGTATGGTTATTTTTTAAGTGAATGAACAAGTTACATTGCTTGTCTCTTGCAAGTACATCAAAAGGACCCAATTACAGCTGATACTCTTGGCAGTTCTTGAACCATACACAGAGCAACTGAGGGTACAGGTTTCCAGTGCAGTGTAATTTGCTTGGAACTAAACTAAACCTTTGCTTCAGAGGTTCTCAGTGGACTTGTGTTCTCTAAGAGAGCGAACATCAGTTTCCCAAATTGCACAGCTGAGGCATAGGGAGTTCAGAAGATTTGCATAATGTCAAACCTCAAAGCAACAGGGAAGCAAAGAAGTAATCCAAGGGTCCAGAACCGTGTTTAGTCTGTAATCAGTAGATATCCCTCCCTGCCATAATACAATACAACAAAAATATTGTTATTTCTATAAAACATTTTCAAGTTGAACAGACTACCAATTACACAATAAGGCACCAGGACTGACTGCTCCAGAGTAAGAAAACTTGTGAAAATCTAGCAATTACTTAAAAAAGACTGATTCATTTGAAAAGAATTATCTCACCAAACATTTTGCAAGAATGATGATGCATTATGCCAAGGAAATTTTGAGGTGACTTTTAGAAATTACACTCAGCCACAGAACAAAAGGAGGCAATTGAAATATGCACTTCTGCTCAGATATTTTTAATAAAGGAAAGCTTGTTAAAAATAAACTGCAAAAAAGATTTGGGCGGAATCACAAATCATCTCATTAGCATTTGAGGAAAAAAAGGATGAAATATCAGCTTGAGAAGTCTTTTCTGCAAAGCCAATTTTCTCCCCCTTCCATCTGGTTTATCTGTATTCCAAAATTCTCATTTTCAAAGAAGTTTCTAAAATGGCAGTTCCGGACTGTTTTTGTTCTTACTAAACAAAGTGATGTACACCCAATATAGAAATATAACAGAGGAATGCAGTGAATTAGCTTTTTTTTTTTTTTTTTTTGTCTGACAGTTGATTTTTGAAGCCAAACCCAGTGTTTAAAGAGAAAAAACCATATGGGTGATTTCACACCTGCATTGCTTCTTACCCTCGAAAGCAACCATGGAGTTAAATGGGTCTGGTCAAACACAAACCAAGATCAGTGACCCAGCAAGGCTCAGCATTCCAGATCAGACCTTTAATGAGAGGGACACCTCCCAGCACTTAGGAAAAAAGGAGATCTGGCAAATGAAGAAGAAGCATATGAAGAGCAAACTGAAAATTCTGCTGTAAACAAGAATTTGAAATTTGCCCAATGCTACTTCTCAACATTTTGTGGACTCTGATTTGGAGAACAGCAGTAAAAAAAGTGACACTTTCCTGCAATGAAACAATTAGAAAAGTAGACTATAAAAAGGGCAATACAAAGAAATATTTAGATTTTTAAAGGCAGTATTCAAGTAGATGATTTTATTTTGCAGTTTATTAACTTAGAGCATATATTTTTATAAAGAACATTAAAATGAAGGTTAAGAGAAACTTACCCCATAGACCAGTTCACCCACCATGCCATTCCATATCTTAGTCTCAGGGTCCCTAGCTCCATATTTCCCATCTCCAACAATTGACAGTTTGTATTTTATTCCAACATGTTTTGCTATTTCAGAAGCTAAGTCTACACAATATCCTTCATATCTCTCATTCCCTTCTAGTTGTTCATGGTTTTTCTTATACATTACATATGGTGATTCCTTTGAAACAAAAGTAAAGATCAAAAATCTATGAATGTAAAATACAGCTGTAAACCACACAAAATGAGAGCTCTTATTATCCTTTATATTATTGGCAATTATTTACAATATTTCCTACTTTGGTACAGAAATTAGAAACACAGACTTCTGCAGTATAAAATTCCTTGGCTGATCTTACATCCACACATCCTATTGACTATTCCTAGTAAGGAGCCATTGACAACAACAGAACTTTGTTAAAAAGTTACACTTCTGTTTGCAGAATTAGGCCTGATTAGACAGTCAAGTAGCATCATTGTAGCAAAAATTCAAGTTTTAGCGTTTAAAGACTGACATATCCTACACCTGTTCCATCACCACAATTTCCTAAGGCCCCAGTGGCCAAGAATGGCGCACTGATGGAGATATTTTCAAAGGAGCCTACGGGAAGCTAGGTTGAAATTCTCAGCAGCATTTTTTGTAACTGAATTCCCTCAGCCTTCTTGGAATATTCTAGTTGAAATGCAGATTATATCTAAATCCATAGAAGTATAAAATACAATGCTTCAGGAAACAGCATAAAATTGACTCATGCTTAGTAGAATTGTAAAAGTTGCAAAAGTCACAACAAATGCTGTGCAGAGCAGGTCTGTAGAGGCGTTGGGACTGACACAGGTGCTGCTGCTTGTGACACACAGGAAGAGCTTTGCTCCTTTGGAATTGGACAGGTAAAAGCTGCTTTTCACCCAGTGCTAGAGCAGTTCCAGTTCTCTACAGGCTTCATTGTGCCACCCTTACTCAGTCCACAGGGGCTGAGTTTACAGGAGCTGTACCTGAGTGAGGGGTGCAAGATTTGACTCTACAACAGAAAGGCCAATCTCTGTGCTCATTTACATGCATGCATAATAACTTCACTTATATGAGGCACTTAATCGAATTCAAGTGTCTGGGAAGCAGCAAAGCACAATGGTGACCTCAGTGAGTTCCTCCTGTGAGCAGACATATATAAGTTAGCAGGGTCAAGCCCTCAGAGCATCTCTGGAAGATATTGAACTTTCCAGTCACTTGAATTCACACAAGTATTCAACAGTATTCAGCATCTGCCTCCTGACAAGGCATCTAACACACTGCAGGAGTCACGTGCCTTGTTTCCTACACACAGACATACTACAACATAAAACTTACCAAGATGGTAGTTACTACTATAGTTCTGTTCTCCACAGATGAAGTGTCATTAGAGGGCAGCTGATCTAATGCTGGTACATATCTTTCATATTCATTCCAATAACCAGCCTATAAAAATGGAGATTGTTACCTCATTACATCCCTTTACAAGGACTTGTACCTGAACTTGTAAGAGCAACTGTCAAAACATATGGTTTTGTAATATTTCTCACTCACTGTTTTTGTCATTAAGGGACTACGTTAGCTTTACATCCATTTCCTTAAAGAAAAAATGTTCTCAAGCCCAAGAGCAAATCAGTACAAGCCAAATCTCAGTGAAAATACATATTCAATTCTCCCTATGTCAATTCACATTAGTATGTGCCTGTGGAATAAATTCCCATATATCCACAGCATAAGAACATACTACAGACAAGAAAATAAACTGCAGAGCATTCTGAGTAAAATTCTCTGATTTTGTGATTTTTATCCAATACAGCCCCAGCAGACCTGAGCTGGCTTTAGAGCAGATGCATAGACATTAGCAATGCAGGCACAGCTGCATTATCTCAAGTATGGAACACAAAACCCTCTGTGAGCATGAGGTGACTTTATCAGCTGGCTGGTGCTGACCTTTGGCTGCATCACTAGGCTATCACAAAAGCTTTTGTATTTCTGCGCAACACCGAAGGAACACTGTTCTCTGCATTGTACACCTCCCTGAGACACTGGCCCATGTTTAGAGGCATTTAGTTATCAAATGTGCAGAAATTTTTAAGCGGTCTCAGTGGTGATCAAGCAGGTTAGTAACCCATCTCCAGGTGAAATCAGGGGATTTAAGATACTCACCTACACACATTCTTCTCTCAGTACTTTTGTGACCCTGTCTACCTAATTATTTTTGAACATCTGCATTAAACTTCTTTTATAACACCAATCTAGGAAACTATTCCACTTATGATCTATATTTTATTTAGGAGACAAGAGAATTAATATGAAATTTTAATTAAACCCAAGCTTACTTTTAATTTTAGAAGGTTTCACTGGTTTCAGCTTCACTATAGCTCCAAAGCCGTATATGGAGATGGAGGGAAAGATGGAGAGGAATTTAGAAGATAGGACTAAGCATAGGACTATGACAGCAGGTATCATACTTGGCAGTGAAAAAGCTCCAGAAGGGTTTTAAGGGAAAATGTTGTGTTTGAAGCTGACATGGAAACCAGTGAAGATGTTAAGCAGGGTAAGTGGTTTAGTCTAGGAACTGAATATAACAAGGTTCCTGGGATAGGGAAGACAGCATGAAGGGGGCACTCCTCAGGACCCTGCTATTATATTGCATCTCTGGTATTTTTCAATTTAGTAAGTATTTGTGAAGGTGTGAAATCTGGATCCATGTCTTGAAACTCACCTTCCGTGATCCAGCAGCTTTCATTTCATACACATCAATTGTGTAATTTGTTCTCCGCCCATAGGTGTCGAACTGGATATTCCCTGTCATTCCTTGAACTTGCACCTTGAGGGAATAAGCAGAAAAATATTTTAATAAAAGATTCACTTTCTTTTTTATCTATGTAAGAGACTTTCACTGCTTCTGACACAGCCAGTTGTACTGTTCAAAACAACCCCAGTGCCCATTCTCTGAGCTCCAGCTGTACGTATTTGCTAGCACTCGGCTGATGACTTGCTGCCAGAGTGAGCTGCATTTAAGTGAAATTAGCCCTGCATATATGTTAAATGTAAGAAAGACTGATTCTGCCATGCTTGGTCACACTGGGGTCACTGGCACAGAATGGAGCATCAGCGAGGCACAAGCAACAATTAGTGCAGTTAAACCCCTCACAACATGGCACAGAGTGATCTGCAGTACAGACCAGAATGGCATATCATTGCTCACTCTGGGAAGTACTTTATTTTAAGATCAGTCCTAGTGTAGGAGAAAGGAACAAATGTCTTCTCTGAATGAGCACAGACAATTGCCTCTACTGGTTATGGAGTTTTGGTCTCAGTCAGGATGGATGGGTGTACAGACAGTAAATCATTACCATTACCTACTCACATGAATCATCTGAAAGGGAAGTATAAAGTACTTTGTCTCAAAAAAAGCGCCTTTCTTAATTCCCTGTATGAAAGGATGAGGTATTTTCATTTATCACTTATCAGCTCTGACAAGCTGTCATCTCAGGCAGAAAAGGTAACAGTTGCAAACTTCAGTAGGGGCGAATTAGCTTTAATATTTAGCAAAAACTGTAGAAGTTACAGGAAGAGGTGATGCTAGACTAGTCAAAGGCAAACTGTTCAGGGGTGGTGACTGATCTGCTGTTCACTGTTTAGAGATGAGGTGTGAGGCTATATAAAACAAAAATTACATGGACCTCAAATTATCCTCAAATTCATTCAAATTTGAATATCCTCAAATTATTATTATTCACACTGACATATAGGGAATTCCCTTTTAT